ACGTTTTGAAAACTCTTCTAATATTATTAACATGATGTTTTTCAGAACAACCGATCACAATTAGGTCATCCATATAAAGCAATGCTTTTTCCGGAGTGAGATCGGCAAAAGAAATCGACATCATACGTTGAAAACTGTTGGGGCTAACTGCTAATCCAAAAGGCATCTAGTAAATCTGAAACTACCTTTATCCACACTAAATTATGTGATGTCACGAGAAGCTTCCTCTAAGGGGATTTGATGAAATCCTGATGCTAAATCGAGCACAGAAAACCATTTTGCTCTTCCTAGCTTATCTAGAATGTCGTCTATAGGCGGAAGATGGAATTTGTCGGCTATAAAGGCCTCCTTGTTAATTTTTCGAAAATCTATACATAGTCTCCATGCTTTCTTACCGTCCGTTGATTTTTTCGGTACTAATAATACCGGGCTGTTATATTCGGAAATTGACGGTTCAATAATTTTATTTTCTATCATTTTACCTACTTGTCTATTTATTTCGTCTTTCAAAACTTTGGGCATTCTATAATTTTTAATATAAATAGGTTTGTTATTTGATAATTTTAATTTTTGTGTGTAGAAATTGTTTACAGTTAATATGTCCGCTTTTAATGCAAATACATCAGAAAATTCACAACACGTATTTAGCATATTATCCTTTTTGACAAACTCGGGTATATCTTGATTTAATTCGTTTAATAGCTGGGTCGTGCGATTTTTAGATTCCGATTGTATATTATATACATTAAATTCCTGAAGGTCGGTTGTTTCTAAGGTATTTGTTAGTAATATGACATTTTCAAATGTTGTATTAATAATTTTAACTAAGGGTTGGTTTTTGGATATTATAGACTTGGCAACAAAAACACCTGGATGTAACTCTTTATTTTCTACGACACGGTCTTCGGTTAATTTTTTAAATTAATTGATTTGTCTAACTACCTCATATCGTGGTGGAATAAAAAGTGTGTTTTCCTCTGGACCACTAAAAATTGATGTCACAATCCCCCTATTTCCTAACCTAATGGTCATGGACCAATCATCATAATCAATAATAACTTTGTATTTTATGAAAAAATCTCTACCCAAAATGCCATCAGCTGGGATAAGAAAATTTTAATCGACTATGTGAAAGTCGTGTGATATGTTATGTTTATTGAATGAAATATTAGTGTTAGTGACACCTAAAGAATTTATTAGCCCTTCGGTGACTCCTTTAATTTTACAGGGATTTGATATATTGGCAATAGTGTCTGGATTTACGTTTATCCGTTTAAAAATTGATATATCCGCTCCTGTGTCGACAAGAAGCGTATTTTTAGAACCTGTCATGTCTACGTAAAGAGATTTTGAAAACGTATTTAATGTGTAGATATTATTTAGATTTCCCCCAACCGAGCCTGCTGGGGGCTCGCTTGGTTTTCCGACTCTTCTGTCGTTTCGCAATATCGAACCGAGTGATATCAACGGCCATAGCCTCGGTAAGCATTTCTATTGTTATTATGAAAATTTCTTCGCCCTGATGAGTATCCGCGAGACCTTTGCCCTCGATTAAACCTATCAAAATTTTGCTGACTTTGGCCCCGATAATAATTATTCCGGTGGTTGTTAAAATTATTTTTGTTGCCTCGCATATAAAGTACATTTGAAACGATAGAATTATTATTCGTACTTACATTAGCGAATTTTGTAATTACTTCCTGTATTGAAGTAAAAGTACCCGCTTCTAACACCAAACGCGCTTTTTCAGATTGAGCATAGTGACTTAGAGCCCACCCGATAGCTTCTACGGTGTAGTTTTGTGCTATTTCTACCGATACGCCTTCTGCAACGTATGCTTGCTGAAGATTTTCAGCCAAAACTTCTATTTCATTGGCGTATTTGGTTGATTCTTTAGCGTTTTGTTTTAACTGCGACAATTTGGTGGCTGCTAGGAGAGAACTATCACATTTTATACCGGATTTAAGTTTTAAAATTATCTAGTCTATTGTGTTTTCGTTAATAATTAGATCGCGTGCTTTTCCTGTTAATTTAGTTTTTACAAAAGCGACGGCATTAGCCTGGTGTTGAGTGGCGTTTGCATTTAATAATTCTTACGAGTACAGAAATGATTTTAAATTGTCCAGCTTTCCATCAAACTGAACCGGAAGCAATTTGGCAGCAAGATTAAAAAATTCTGAGGCGGTTAGAGCCATCGTCGCTGGTATTTCCGTTTCGGAATCTTCCGACTCTACGAGATCCTCTATCTCTAATTTGATGAAAAAGTTTTTTACAGATTTGTCTATCTCGATCGGCTAAGGAATTCCAAGATTTGCCTAAAAGTATCGTAAAGTCGTTAAATAGCGTAACTAAATTTTCTCTTCTATCGATTCTAATGGATTCCGTTTCCGGAACCTCTTTTTTTAAAGTTCGTTTGGCTTGTTTGTCGACCTCATTTTTGATATTAGTTAATTTTAATTTTAGGACGTCTACTTCTACTGACATTTAGCAAAGGCAAACTTCTGCAATAATAAAATGAAATAAAATAATCATATTATGATAAAAATTGCTAGTTGAAATATATAATAATCTTAAGCTTAATAAAATATTGCTATCTGACCTCTATTTTTGTCGAACTCTGGGCTTCTTTTTTAGTGGAGTGTTTGTTGGTTTCGGAAGTCCGGTGCCTTGAAGCCGTAGTTGGAAGCTGACGGGTCCATCGTTGCGGAAACTAGCGGCATTGCGCCTTACACTAGATCCGTTCCCCCGAAGCCAGCCCCGGTTTGGGTGCCAGTTGAAGTTATCGTTGTGGCCAAGTTAATGGTCCAAAATTGTCTGGATACACATACATAAGTCTTTTAGATACTTAACACATATTTCGTGGCAGCTAACTTAGTGCATGAACATGAACCTGGTGGCTAAGCTGGTACTGATATGCCCCGGTGTCACCAAAACGGCACTAATTGACGCGTTATAGGCAGCTACTTCCCGTCGAATTCTCCTTTTCATTGTACTTCTTGGACTTCTTGCTTAGTCTGTTTCGATCCCATCACTTTCGCCCCGTGTTAACTACCACAAACTCTTGCCTAAAATAATTTAGGACTGGCAGGATCGCCATGTAAAGTTGTTCGAAAATAATACTCATGTGTTTCGTTGGACGTTCGTTTATTCAATACTTTATTAGTGAAGAATCTGCGACATGGTAACATTGATGTTTATATAATATTGCAACGCTCATCAAAACAATAAATTGTAACAGTGGTTATTCTAACTGGGTTACTGTGACTAGGTTATTATGATACATTGATGACCTGCTTGAGTTATTGTTATTTGGTAATATCTAAATATGAAAATGTTTTAAAAAACACATATTTTCCCTACACGTTACAATAGTATTAATTTTTGCGACGTGATATAAAAAAGTAATTTTAACGACTATGCATAAAAGTGAAGCACTTTTATTCCTAGCAGAATAGTACAAAAAAATTGGCGCCGGGGGGCACGTATAGCCGCCCATACTAAAATATGTTAATATCTCGAAAACTGCGACTTTGACTGATTTTGATGTTATTACAAATTTTGTGGCAAATATTATTCCTAATCTTAATTTGAAAACCGCGTTTCGCTGGTTACTGTAATTTTGGAGTTACGATTTTTTTAAATTTTTAACCCTCTCATATACCCCCTTACCAAACCCCCACACCCACCAAAAACTAATGGCCAGATTCTCGGGTGCCACAGTATTTTTGTGCCAAATTTGGTTAAAATCGGTTAAGCGGTTTTTGAGTTATCCTGTTACAGACGGCAGACAGACAGACAGACAGACAGACACCACGAAAATATTTTGTATTTAGGTCATTTATGACCCAAATAACTCATTTTGAGTGAAATTAAAAAAAAGTTTTTTTTGCCGATACTAATAGCCTACCATACCTATTGGTATGGTCGGCTAAATATATTACTAAATTGACATAAAGTGTCAAATTCAACGAGTGTAACCATAGTTTCTATATATATAATTACCTGCGAGGTACTACTTTTAAATCTTTTTATATTATTTGGCAACATTTGAAATTGCTTAAAAAATTATTCGTGACGTTAGAAAAAAAATTGCATATTCTATTTGGAATAGAATGACATTTGTGCCTCGCCTGAAATGTTAACATACGCCCGGGAGGGCTAACTTTGAGTCAGGGGGGGGCTAAGCCCCCCTTAGCACCTTCCCATACTTGCGCCTCTGTCTCTATATCTCTATGGATACAAATGACTACTGCAAGCTGTTGCTAAGATATTAAATTTATTATAACTGTATTTTTAGACAATTGAACACAAGTAAAATATTTATTTTATTTCCTATTCTCAATACACAAAATAAATAGTGACACAACTGTCGAGGATGAAGTTTTGATCGTCGAATCGTCAATGACGATTCGTCATCAAGTGTCGACGGCCACAACAGAAGAAACGTATGACTTTAATATGCAGATTATATATAGATAAGTATTTATGAAAACCTGGAAAACGTTAGGAAAGTGGTTTTTTACTATTAGAATTATGGCATTAGATGACTATTGGCACTATTGGCAGCCATTAAGTATTTATTGTCTTCGCCAACGAGTATGGCTAGAAAACATTCACTTAGCTCTGCTTGTCAACTTTGCGTTGATCAAAGAGCTAATTTAATAGAAGGGAATGCAGATAAGCTACTCCTGAATTATAATATTAAGCTGTTCAATTTTGAATATTGAGCTTCAAGCTTTTATTTTGTATATTTTGGAATATTTGTTTATTATTACAATTTAAAATATCTTGTTTTGTATATATTATAGGATATGTAAAACATGATATATGCTTTTATTTGCGACTTTCTTTTATCTTATCCTATCATTTTTTAGTTTAAATTTACAATTTTACATAGACAGAAGTTCTGCTCCGGCTTCATCCAAAAAAATCACATTCGGTCGGCATTTAATATCGATTATTATTTTACATTAGGAAATATGTATGTATAAATGATCGAAAAAAAAAAATCGCAGTCATTTTAAATGTAAAATTATATAGGGAATGTCAACGATATTCATTTCAAAGCCAACTAGACACCGTTTTTTTTTCGATCATGCGGTAGCATGTGACAACATACCATGCATTCATCCTTTATAACTCCAACTTCAGCTATTAAACCACTGATATCTTTTGTCATTTGATCGTTAAATCTCTTAATTATTCTAGCAGTTTCTTCTATCTTTTTATCAACCAGATTTCTTAAATAACCCAAAGCGACACTAAGACCCAAATAATTCACCATTTCGTCATTGGCTATACTGATATTGAATTCTTCTACAATGTCATAAAGTTCTTTACAATAATCTAATTCTTCCTCCATTTTGTCTACTTTTGCAGTAGAAGCTTCGATATATTCCAAATAACTGACATAATCGGTCGTTGAGACTGGTTCTTTTAAGAGATAAACTTGAATTTCTTCGACATTTTGCATTAGATATGACACTTTTTCTCTGCCAATCCTTAAATATTAATAAAAATATCTAATAACTAAAACCTAAATGAATTTTTACATAATAAAAGAAAATTTTAATAATTAACAAATTTATTTGAAGTGTACCCTACCATTACCATGATAAGATGTTTGTTCAGTGAACAACGTCACGTCATATATTGTCGAACTCCCTCTTTTACTTGGCAACCAGATGAAACAGATTGATGATGTCATTACGGCATTTTGTAAATTACTGCATATTGTTTTTTTGAGATATAATTTTATTAACGGACATCGATCAATGTCAAAATTAAAATTTAAAGAGACTTTCAAACAATTTATAATTCTGACCGTTTGATTTTTAATTTAAAATTCATTTTTTATTACTAAAACAAGTTGGCGATTTAGCAAGAATAAAAATGCAAAATTTTTTATCGCAAACAAAAACATTTTAAGTACGCAAAAAAAAGACACTGGTAAAACACTTTTGTCCATCGATGCCGAATATAAAGTAATTACAAAGCAAACGTGTGTAGTTATTGTATAAACACAAATTAACTGCGTAACTGAAGTTTTGAAAATAGTCATTTCTTATACAGTTTAAAAAGTTCGAGCTTATTTAATTATTTTAGGCATCTTGAACTTCTAGAGTATCAAATTGTATTTTATTGAATAGAATCTCAAGTTTTTCATAAGTTTATTTTTAAAATATAAGTACAATATGCCTGGAAGAAATGGTCTATGCGCCTATAAATTATAAATTGAAAGACAACCAAAATGAATAAAGGCCTAACATACCTACACAAATTTAATAAAAAGGAAACTCACTCAAGTGATAGTTTCAGAACGTATTTAAAATTTTCTAAACAATATGAACAGATTTCAGACATACGCTAAACCGTCTATTTGACAAATAATGATTACCCAACGTTGCACAACCGTTGAACATACATTACACTACCGGTAGATGACTTACCATGGTATTATTAGCTTAACTATATCCAATAATCTTGTAGGTTCTGGTAGTGCTGTACTTTTAAATTGGTCTAACATTAAATAGAGAAGTCCTAAAGGTTGTTCTGGACAAATACTGGTTACGATATCAATTTCATTGTTATACCTAATACACATATTTCTATACATCTCTGGAACTGAAAATACAAAAGAAAGTAATTAATCGTATCATTGAAAATTTATTTTCTTTGCTCTATTGTATGATTGTAGGTTTGTTCCAACAAAAAAATTGTACCATTCTAGAGTGGTATTTGAAATCACAGGCATCGGATTTGTATGCATCTGTCGACTTGGACAGTTCTGTTACTATAACAAAAATAAGTGAGGCTTGGAACGGTTCTTGAACTAATTTTAGAATCAAATTCAAAACCTAACTTTCAATTATTAATACAAGTTAGATATATATTTTCAATATAAATTTCGAATTTTGTATTTTACTGGATTTATTTATTTTTTAATTAATACGAAAACACCTTTGCTTTATTTAACGAAAGTTCCAAATCATCTTCAGTGGTATCCACATACTCAATACCACTGTCCTCGTCGTCACTAATCATGTCTAGTACAAAAATATAAAAATATGTATATAAAATGTGTATAAAAACAACACAAAGATCAATATCAAATAAAACTTAAGGAATCAGCAAATTAAAAACATAGACAAAGAAATAAAAAATAATAATAATCAGCTGATACACAGCCTTTACCACGCAGGTCAGTTCTTTTGATTCTGGCTTTTTGGCTGGTATCGAAATAATCCTTCCGAATATGGTTCACGAACGATTGTAATAACTGGTTGGAACGCAAAACTTATCGTTCACTAATTGATTGTCTCGTTCATGGAACGCATTTTCTCTGCTGGGCATAAGCGTAACCATACAAAGAAGGGTTCTTTGCTATGTTGTAACAAATTCTTCTCATTGCAAATTTATATATTTGTAAATTAACGAGGTTTTCATTTATAAGCCGTATATGACAGCTACAATATGTATATTATATACAAGGTAGTCCGAGGAAAACCAATGTCGTCGTTGACAAAGATATGAAAAAAGTGTTATAGACAAATGTTGCATGGTTCATAAAGATGAACGCTAAAAATATTTTGTTGTATACAGTGCCCCAAAACAAAGTAGTTATGAAGTTTATTATTTATTTCAACCTCCATTTTTCTATACAGAATTGGATTTAACATAAGTTATTAGTACTAAAGTAAAGTACTAGACATTAAATTTTAATTTAAATAATTTTAAAATCATTATATCAGGTGGCGCATCATCGTTGGAAACATAGCAAATCGCATGCAAATTTGGAACTGTCCAAGTATTGGCTCCTCTATCGATTTTAGAGCGAAGTCGTAAATAGTTTTTTTAAAGGTCTGTGTATGATGAAAACACATGCCAAATTTGAACAATTTTGGGCAAGCCGTTTTTAACTAATTTAAAAAAAGAACTTCATCTATTTTTAAATTAAAACTGAGCAGGTACCAATGCAAATCCAGGCAAATGCCAACATATGTTTCCAACGACGTTGCATCCGGTATATAGAGTGTGGCGCTTCTCATACGCTGCAGATGCTCCAAGGAGAACGACAGTTTGTATAAAAATGAAATTTTGTGAGCATATGTAGGTTAATACAGAGTACTTTTTAAAAATATAGAGAACTCTACAGGGTGTCCCCAATAAAAGTTACATATCAAAGTTGTGTTTTTTGTAACTGAACATCCTATATATTAATCGATTTTAGGATTCTGGGAGAAAAATAAAGGTGAGTTTTATAAGAGAAGTATATGACTAAAATGTAAGGTTTTTGACATATTTAACATTTTCTAGAAATAAAGAACAATTTTTAAATTACAATGAAAGCTACCTAAATTGGAATTTACCCGGTATAACCTAATATGTAGTTAAAATAACTATTGTACTTTAAATCAAATTAAAACTTGATCCAAAAAGTTATACAGGGTGAGACAAAATGAATAATGAACATTGGTCACCTTCAAAAGTATGTTTACTCTTTTATTATATATTCTTTTTACTTTTAAATGGAACACCCAGTATATTATTCCGATATTCAATGAAGAATTCGTGTCTCTTCAAAATACTATTAAAGTTGCCTACCCCTCAAACAAAGATTTTCATTTACATGATTTGATCTGAGTAGATCTTTATTATTTGATAAAATCTAAGTGGCTCTGATATGTCTGACCTTACTTCAACATAGCTGTCTAATTAGTCAAACTTTAACAACTAGTTATCATTTTGTGTCAGTTAAAAGAAAAAAAAATCAGAAATTTGCCGAAAATACTAACTTATCATACATCAGAGAGAATTGATATGATTCTATTAGTTGGTGAATGCAGTGTGCTTTTACCAATTAATAGAATACTTCAAATGCTCCAGATTTTATCTAGTCTGGGATTTTTTATGGGGATATGTTAAAGACAGTGTTTACAAAACTCGACCAACTATTGTCGAGCACATGAGAGAAATTATTGTAGCTGCTTTTCGAGGTAGAACCATAGATCAAGGAAAAGAGTAGTTGCATTCTCGCAAATATTTTCTGCCAGTTTTTGCAATTTGTCGAATATCGGCAGATTGCAAAGCGTTTTAGTTGAATTCCGTCCGTAGAGCGAGGTTCGAGCGTTGCGTCCCAGCACAGAAACGTATTGACAAAAAATGGGTGCCTTGCTGTGTGCTGCTATTAATTGTAGTAATAATTCAAAAAATTGTTCTTTGAGCTTCTTTTAGATTTCCATCGGATGTAAATCGGTAAGCTGATAATAATAATCAATAAACATTTAATTATATTTGTTTATTCTCGAAGCTGAGATATTATGATATTAATTAAATGCTATTATTTTTTTTAGCATGTGGACAGATTTTAAAAATAGTTTTTTAGATATACAGGTTGTCTCAAATATGCGCATGGAAATATTTTTTGGTCGGGGGATTTGCCATAAAATTTTCATTCCAATAATAATTTACGAGATAATTTATATAGATTGGTTTTTGGAACAATTTTAGAGTAAATATTTGTACATCTAAAGTCTCCGCAAATTATTCATATTTTTAAATTGAAAGAATTTTATAATAGCATAATCTCTTATAAATTTAGTGCACTGTATCTTTTTATGTTTTTTTTTTTAATTTATTTTATATTATAAGTGGTCGTAATATAACAATATTCAAAATATTATAGACAAAATATTGAGTTTATATTTGAGGGAAGAAAAGTGCCATACCTAGCTTTAAAACACCGTAAATATACAGGGTGGCCCATTAGTGCGAGGAAGTCCAATATCGTCGTCGTTGTCGAAGATGTGAAAAAAGTTTTATTCATATGTTTCAAGGTTTATAAGGGGGCGTATCCTAAAATATTTTGTTATCTACAGGATGTCACAAAAAAAGTTATGGTAAAGTTAGTTTTATTTCTTTTTAATTATTTTACATCATTCTATATACATTATTCTATATAGGGTATTTTTTATGGCGTCACCAAAAACGGAATATTTAAAATGGTATATCTCAATTTTTTTAAATGCAACATTCTGTATATTATTTTTCTGTCAGATGCAGAATTAAAAAGTGAACATTTTTTTTATTCAAAGTGTTTCTAAATTTTTAACGGTTTCGCAGATATTCGCATATATTACGTATGGCTCTTTCAACAATAAATTTTAATCAAAGCCACCTAATATGATCTTTGTCTGATATTTTATTGTCGAAAATCCCATATGAAATGAAATACAGAAAATATTAGCAAAACGGCTAAAAACGGCCTAACACTTTAAATACAAAAAATGTTCACCTTTTAATTCTACATTCCGAAAGAAAAATAATTACGATTTTAGTGACGCCATAAAAAATATCCTGTATACAATAAAGTAAATTTTTCTACACGAATTTATTCTGGTATCCGTCAAGTTTAAGAAAACATAGCTAAGTATTAATAAAGCTATATTCACTCTAGTTTTTTACCACTTTTCGGATACAGGGTTGTTCACCACATACGACACGGAATATTGTAGCTAAACGATTAGATTTTTATAAATTGTAAGTTTTGGGTTTGTTGAAGGACTATTAGAGCTACAATTTAAAAATATTTTTACAAGATACAGAGTGTACCAAATAAGTAAAAAATATTGTAGTTGTATTTTTTAAATGGAACACCCTATATATTATTCTATTTTTGGATTCTACGATTGAAATAAAGGTAAATTTGATTAAGGTTTATCACACTTAAACCTTACCGTTTTTTAAATATTTTCAATTTTATGAAATTGCAGTAAAAATTTTATGGCTTTATTTCTCCAAGGGTGTCAAAGTTTTTAATAGTAAATATTTACTGACGATTATTTATTGATCAGATATTGTGTTGCAATAATAAAAATTTTACTACCTTATACAGAGTGTCCAAAAATGTATATTAAATAATTACTAGCTTTAACTTGTTTAATTTAAATAGAAACACCCTATATACTTTAGGTGAATCAGATGCATAATATAATTGTCTATCAAATTGTATTATACCATTTTTACCCATCTCTTCAAGTTTTTGTAGAAAATGCATTTTCTTATAATTTAGACCTCACTATACCCATGGAATATTGACATTTCAGATTTTTTTAAAGCAGCATATATGTACAAAATGCATTGCAAGTCCATTGGTATATAAAAAAAACTATTTAAATCTTTGTGAAATAGTATACCAATTAAATATACATATCCATTATTTCCGACCAAAAATTAGTTTTAGTTTAATTAATAAAGTATTCTAAATAAATGTGTGTGTGAATTTGGCTCAGAATCAATATAATAATAAGTTATGAAGATGAACGTTTCTGTTTTTATAAATAAGCATTCGTCAAAAAATGAAATAAAATGTATAAAGTGTTACTTTTTACCACACTGTCTAATACACACACAAAATTCAGTTTTTGAGTATTTGGAGCAAATATTATTAATCAACGTAAACAGTCAGTTAATGTAGTTTGAATGCTGGGATCATATTAATTGGTCCTTGTTAACAACAAATATTTAAACAGTTTTTTTTTTATCTTTTAATGAAATAAGCGAACTATATCGACAATATTAGTATCTGTACTCTTTTAAAATTTGTTACATCTTTAAAAATAATCTAAAATATCATTATCTCATGGGTATAGTGATAAATGAGGTCTAAATTATAAGAAAATGCATTTTCTACAAAAACTTCAAGAGATAGGTAAAAAATGGTATAATACAATTTGATAGACAATTACATTGTGCATGTGATTCATGTAAAATATATAGGGTGTTCCATTTAAATTAAACAAGTTATTGCCGTTTAAAGCTAGTAATTATTTAATATAAATATTTGAACACTCTGTATAAGATAGTAAAATTTTTATTATAGCAACACAATATCTGATCAATAAATAATCTTCAGTAAATATTTAGTATTAAAAACTTTGATACCCTTGGAGAAATAAAGCCTTAAAATTGTTAGTGCAATTTCATAAAATTGAAAATATTTCAAAAACGGTAAGGTTTAAGTATGATAAACCTTAGTCAAATTTACCTTTATTTCAATCGTAGAATCTAAAAATAAAATAATATACAGGGTGTTCCATTTAAAAAAATACAACTATAATATTTTTAACTTATTTGGGACACTCTGTATCTTGTAAAAATATTTTTAAATTGTAGCTCTAATAGTCCTTTTTCGAACCCAGAACTTACAATTTGCAAAAATCTAATCGTTTAGCTACCATACTCCTTGTCGTATGTGATGAACAACCCTGTATACATAGATAATGTTTTTAACCAAAATTTTAGAAATAGAATGGCAACACCGCAGTGTGCTTTAAATAAAGACAGTGTACTATATGCAGAATTTTATGCTGAATCCAGTTATCTACAAAATTAAACTTTTTTTAAATCAAAAAAAAGTTGTAGAAAATCTCCGAAATAGATAGTAATATAAAAATATGTCATTATATATTTTTCCGCATTTCTTCCCGTCAAAAGATTTTCAGATACAGAAGAATTGTTACCTACACGAAATGTGAAAATATTCTGCTTCAAGCAAGTTTTTACTCGATTATAATTTTTTTTTTATTTTATTTTATTGTGAACTCATATTTTCCTAAATACATATCTGTGAAACTATAGCAAGTGCCACGACTATACTTTGCCTAGTTAATATACCATGACTATACAGCTACGTTAGTGGTCACGGGAGGCGAGACCAAGGGCATATAAAGTGGCAGAAAAAGAACAAAGGATTTGACAAGGAGTAAAACTACTAGTTTCCTTATACTATGGTAGAACTCCACATATGCCTTTTAAAATGAAAAGATCCTTTTGAAAAGACAATCATTTTATGCAGTTAACAGGAAAGGAAGCATTTTGAGCATTTGATTTCATCTAGCTAATTTTTGTCACATAATTATAGGTTTATATCTAGTTTTAATTCTGTAATAATTAAAATATGTCTTAAAGGTGTATCTTTTTATTACCGTTGAGTATATTACTCTACACTCTACAGTTTTTATTTTTTGTTAAATTAACAAAAGGTATATCAGAGCCACCCTAGATTTTTTCAAATAATAAAGATCTACTGACGCAAAATCATAAAAATTAAAATATCTAGGAATATCTTTGTCTCAGGGCTGAGGGTTAGGCAACCTTAATAATATTTTGAAGATATATAAATTCCTCATTGAACACCGGAATAATATAGTGGGTGTTCCATTTAAAATAAAAGAGAAACTTGCTTTTAAAAGTGACTAATGTTCTATATTAATTTTGCCTCACCCTGTATAACTTTTCGGGACAAATTTCAATTTGGTTTAACATACAATGGTTACCGTAATACCTACATATGCTGCCAAAATTTCATTTCGATATAAACTACCGTTCTCCTTGGAGCTTCCGCGGCGTATGAGAGGCGCCACCTTGTACATACAGGGTGTTTTCAAAATCATGTGCCATCTCTCGTAGGGAGATTCGTCACGTAAAGATAAGATTTATTTTTCATATCAATTGCCACGCCCTTTCTAATTTGAAGTTCAATAAAACACAAAGTTTACTTAATCTGTATGAGTTGCATAGAGGCCACTAGCTTTTTAATTTTAACAGCCGGGTGGTCGGGGTTCAAAGATATTAATAAAAGGGCGCCACGAGATTATACTCTATGAACTCGGCAATAAAGATGTAACTATTAAGTAGACTTCAACACTAACTTCGAACTGTTGAGTGTAACTACCATGAACTTCAAATGTTACTATAATTATTTAAACTTAAGTGACTTTAACTTAACTATGAGACTAGACTGCACATAATACTACTAAAAATATTTAAGCAATTTATTGAAATATCAAAAAGGTTATATGTATAGAGAAAATGATGAAATGTATGAAATGAAGTAAAGTTTAAATCGATAAGAATAAATGAAAAATGAAAATGGTCTAAGCTATACTAAAACTATGACGTCATCCCCCTTAACTTAAACTAAGTATGCTCTAAGGGCAGAATACAAATAGCAAATCTAAAATTATACTAATCTAAACAGTCTTACTCTACTCGATGTGATATACTTGAAAACTATTCGAACTTCCTCCGGCTGAGCTACGGTGTATAGCTGCAGGGTTGCTACGGCGATGTACAGCAGCTCGGGTTACTGTCACTGGAGCCCACGGATGTCAGCAGACGTACAGATGAAAGGCAAGTTGTTGAGGTTTCAAATGGTGAACATAAAAACCCTAAATAATATTGGTTGTCTTAGAAAAGAGCATCAATTATAGAACAAGGACTAGCACAACGTGTAGGAGTTAATGAAGGTAATAAAGAAGGACTAATTAAATCTGAACTTTACCTCAACGAGAGTTTATGATGTCCAACGGGTAACTCTACATACGTGCAACAGGAACGGATGGAATTCTGGACTGTTCTGTGCACTACGGTCTGGATCGGTCTTCTTGCTCTACAATTACAAACAACCAAATAAGACTTAAGAAAGATAACACTCAACTAATCTTTCTACACCACGTGGGCGCGGAGAGATCGAAAACCAGACAACAATACAAATAAAAATCAGTTGAGCATTGACTTAGAATAGGCAGAAGAATTATAGCATACCTTGGAACTATTCGGGGACTTCTTGGGCACGTGGAATCGGAATATCGGTCGGAAAAAGGCTATTTTAATCCCATTACGGAAACTGGTCGGTGGTCCATGTGAACTCAACAAAATCCAAACACGTCTCTGACCGAATGTGTTTCGGAAGCCTTAATCCTTCTTTACGAAGACCTGCTATTCACCAACAGGGAATGCTTCACGAAACGGCAGCCAGTTCTTCACGACGACACTCTTCAGCCGGGGAGTACACAAGAAGTGATGCAAGGATTCGATTTCCTTCACAAAATCAGATTTCAACCGGAAATCTCCCTCCAGGATATAGATAGAGAACTATATATCTTGACTAGTCCAACTCACAAAAAGGCATAAATAAAAAACGATGTTCTATATTATTTTGCATTGTCATATTTCATATTCGGTCAATGAACGAACTTAACTCACAAATTCCCACAATTAAATGAACGAATTGCACACTGCGATCCACATCAAAAATAACCAATTTAACTACGAAATTTTATCTGATAAGTATGAAATTTCAATAACCAAAACAAACGATAAATAAATCCAAAAACATCTGATTTGATCTGACAGTTACAAGTGACGGACAAAAGTGATGATCAAAGATATAGAGAGATGGACAAAAAGCCTACTGCTGGTCGGCATCAGTGACAGTGGAGCTGAAGCTGTATAATCTAGCAGTGTATATCGGGTTGCATAATGGTAAAATACTAAATAAAATAATATTTAACAATAAAATTACAGTAAACATGATGCAAAAATAATAGTTATTTGCGATAATTTATGAGCTAGCACACAGAGGTCGTTGCGAGGAAATTTGACTGTTACACAATATAGGTCGGATTCTGCTTTGTTTCGTAGCTACAGGGTGTTTAAAGTCTTAATAATTTTTCGATTTATTGTATTTTTCTTCCAACTACTTTTAGTGATTCGAATGAAATTTTGAGGGTAAAAGTTACTATAAATGTGACATATTTTAAATATTTTAATATTTTAGTACTCAAAAAGTGTCGATATATTCATCAGGGACGTGCATATGGGTTATCACTGGAATATTTTTCAAAAAAAATCATGGGCGCTACTGACTTTTCTTTTGATATCAAAATTATTGTGTAGGCCGTTTAATGCCAGTTAAAAGTTATCTCTTGATATTTTGTCGAACTCGGCCTCCTTGATGAGATAAACGCAAATTTATTAATCACAATTTATGAAATTAAAATAAAAATGAAACTAATAAATTATATATTTTACCTTAATTTATTAATTAATAAATAAATACCTTAATTACAAAAAAAAAATAATTTTAAAAAGTTCTAACATCCTGTAACTCTAAAACTGTGCATATCCATACCCATGTTTATAGGAACTTTTTTTCATATTTTTTGATAAGAAATCAAAGTGTACTTATTAAAAACTTTCTCAAGTTAATGATATTGAATTTTATTAAAGATTGCTGATTGCTATTAGACTTGGATCAAGGCAAATTTATAAAATCTCATCAAGGAGACCGAAATCGACAAAATATCAAGAGACAACTTTTAATCGTCATTAAGCTGCTTACACTATTTCGCTAACAAGAGAAAAAAATCAGTGGCGTATATGTTTATTTTAGAAAAATATTCCAGTGATAACCCATATGCACGTCCCTGATAAATATGGCGACACTTTTTTAGTCTTAAAATATGTCACATTTATAGTAACTTTTACCCTCAAAATTTCATTCGAAGCGCTAAAAGTACTCGGAAGAAAATTATAATAAATCGAAAAAATAAATAAAAAATTAAGACTTTAACATCCTGTAGCTAGAAAACAAAGCAGAATCGGACCTATGTTGATATGAAAAATAAATTTTATTTTTACGTGAGGAATCTCCCCACGAGAGGATGGCACATGTTTTTTGAAACACCCTGTATAGAGTACATTATAAACATATTAACCTGTTTCTTTTTCAATATCTGTTTCGCATATTTCAAGATCTTCGGCATAAAATATTCGAACTGAGTCAAATCTCTTTAGATAGGAATATGCAGCGCCATAGTTCAATTTTAGGCATTTGAATATGTTTTCTTTATGTTCTTCCAAATCGAGATCTTTTGATAAATAAAAACTTAATGTGGGACCCCAACCACATATTCGATCATCTACTTTCTCGTTAATCACTGGTCTGAAAAATATAATAAATCTTTAAGACAATACTTGACGATACTCGACTCAAATGCTAACGTGACTGATATACTGTTTTACAATACAGACAATACAACAATAACAGAAAAAAGACAGACGACATCTATAGGTACATAAGTTTGTAGTATTTTTCCTATAACTATGGATGAATTTATATATAAATCCGTCTTGTTGATTTCAACCAGTCAGTCTTGTTGGTTTATTTTAAAAATGACAGATCATATTTCAATATTATTGTAGTGACGGAACGATAAACGACGCACGGATGCAGATGCGTATGAAGTCTACTTTTTAAATGCGTATGAAGTCGAATTTTTTAACTTGTCAAACTCTTGCCACAGTAATGGTTATTATTAGTGTCAAATTATGTCAAATAATTAGCATTCTGGAAAATGATAAATATTTGCGATACCTATTGCTTTTGCATTCTGGTTTGCTTTATTACGTGTATGAACTAATCGACTAAAAGACAACCACTGTTATGATTATTTTATTGCTTTTCATACTCGAACCTTCTCGAATAATACCTTTCGACATTCCCTTCAATTTCTCTTCCGATTTGCTTTCCAACTGTCTGTCCAGAATTTCTTCCGACTTGCCCACTTATTATCCTTTCGACTTGCTTACCAACATTCCTATAACTCTGCATTTTTCAACATTCTCTTCGCCTGTAATTTACGCCACTCTACGCGGCTTCTATAAGTCACGATGATATCTCCGGAGTTATAGTTACGGTAATAACATCCTACAATTATTTTTCATCATTTAATGATGAAGTATTTAGATAGTAGGTATATTGCTATCTACTCGTACTATACGTACTTTGATAATGTCCACTTGAGATGTCGATTCGTGTTTTATATCATTTTTCAGCAGAACACGACCAAACTCTAACATTTTTCCGACACTTTTTTCTTCCGTGAAGTCGATTATGTATTTTGATTTAATCTCACATTTTAGAGAGTTGTTGTTGGCCAACAGTGAAAATAAATTTTCCTCACTCTCTTTACTAGACTCTTTTTTTTCGATTTCGCATATTACGTAAACACCAGGTGGAATTATCATATTTACAGGTTTAGATTTTTCGGTTTTCTTATAAGAGAAACGATTGTTACTTTCGTCAATGTTAAAAATTGAGTTGTACGTATAGAAACCAACAAGTGCAAGTCCATATCTGTCTGTAGAATTTAGTTCTATAGGTGGATAAAAGTTTTTACTTAAGACGCTAGAGCGTCCCGTTAAGGTAAATGTGTAAAACATAACTGATGGTAAATTTACTTAAACATGGTTTTTATTATCATTTGCAGCATTTTAGTGGGTTAAAGCTGAACCGACGTTTACCTCGCTCTATTTTTTCATTGGCAATGTTTACATCCCTCATTTTACAGTAGCAGCAATATAGTTTACTAAGTTTTGGTCCATCACTTTCTTCTTCTTCATATAAATTGTTGTATTGTTCATTAGAATATTGATATTTAAGGATATTAATGTCGTTTTTCATGTGTTCTGGTAACTTATCCCACACTAGTGCAATTTCATTTGGTTTACAGGTAATCATAACTTCTTTTGGCATATTTTCTAACTGTTCAGAACTCAACTCTAGTAAACTGCCACAGCGATAGTAGACTTTAAGCGATGAAGCTATTTTTAGCCGACCATACCAATAGTAGGCTATATAATAGGTATGTAAGGCTATTAGGATCGGCAAAAAAAAGTTTTTTTTAATTTCACTCAAAATGATATACTTGGGCCCTAAATGACGTAAATACAAAATATTTTCATGGTATCTGTCTGTCTGTCTGTCCGTCCGTCTGTCCGTCCGTAACACGATAACTCAAAAACCGCTGAACCGATTTTAACCAAATTTGGCACAAAAATACTGTGGCATCCGAGAATCTGGCCATTAGTTTTTGGTGGGGGTGGGGGGCTGGTAATGGGGTATGGGATGGGGTTAAAAATTTTAAAAAATCGTAACTCCAAAATTACAGTAGCTAGCGGAACGCGGTTTTCAAATTAAGATTAGGAATAATATTTGCAACAAAATCTATACATATATAAAAGCACAAAGGGTTTTTTTGTTACATCTATCCCGCCGAAACTGCTTTACCAATCTTGATGATTCTTTTTTTAAATGAAAGGTATATATGTCTAGATTTGTTATGAAGTATTTTTAAATTGTTGAATGGCTATTTCTTTGTGTAAATCGACTAAATATTAAAACATACCTGAAAAACACCTACACACAATACCTCCAGAAATAAATTATAAAACAGTGGTTTGTCAGAGGCCATATCGCCTTTTCGATATTTTGATCGTTCAGGTCATTCCAGCTTTTTTAGATACATAAATAGCTGTAAACGTCACTGTTTCAAACGATTATTAATTAGTTGTCGCATTTTTTGAATTATCTCTAGAGAGTAAAATTACAAGCGGAACAATTTGTTGCATGAAAATCTCCTTACTATGTATTCAGAAAAGGATCATGTCTTTTAAATGATCCTTTAGCCAATTTCTTATGCGTATAATCCAGAGGTCACCAAATTTATATAAATTTTACTAACTTTACCCATTTGGTTGATGACCAAAAATCTCTTTCTAATTCTTTTTGTAGGATTTCATCTTTCTAGACCACATAGTAAGGAATTTTCATACAACAAATTGTTCCGACATAATTTTACTTCCTCTAAGAGGATGAATTTCCTAAAATCGCTTTGTGGTGTAGCTAATTCACTAATGTCGTTTAAACAAACCTTGTTCTAATATTATGTATCTAAAGCTGGCTGTATGAACTAATCCCTAAATTATCTAAAAACTTGGATATATAATCTAACTGGGACAAACCACTGACAATGACAAATAATTTACTGAGGTATTGTGTAGGTGTTGTTCAGCATGTTTTAATATTTAGTCGATTTACACAAAGAAATAGCCATTCAACAATTTAAAAATACTTCATAACAAATCTAGACATATATACCTTTCATTTAAAAAAAAACGTGTTTCGCTAGCTACTGTAATTTTGGATACCCCCTTACCACCAGATTCTCGGACGCCACTGTATTTTTGTGCCAAATTTGGTTAAAATCGGTTCAGCGGTTTTTGAGTTATCGTGTTACAGACGGCAGAGAGACAGACAGACAGACAGACACCACGAAAATATTTTGTATTTGGGTCATTTATGACCCAAATAACTCATTTTGAGTGAAATTAAAAAAACTTTTTTTTGCCGATCCTAATAGCCTACCATACCTATTGGTCGACGATAAAATACCATTTTATCGTCTTGTATAAAAAATAATTTCACAAAGCCTGTTTTAAATAGTGTTTGCTTTATATTATTCCCTAAAAGGCATGAAACTCCATAAGATTATTACCTACGTAACAATTTTAAAGATAACAGTGTTAGTGTACTTTAAAAGCAAAGCTCTCAGACTCAGAAATTGAGTTAAAAACTTCACTTGACATACTACGATGCAAACGATATTTTTACAAGCCGTGTCACTTCCTCGAAAAACTTTATATCTTGTATCTATGTCGTGAAGGAAAAGAAAATCCCATCTTGTTTCGAAAATTACTGGCAACGCTGACGACGGTCAAATTGAGAAACTTTTGATGATTTCCGCGTTACTTTTCCATATATCTGTTTGAATTAGTTGGAGATTGGAGATTTTTATTGGAAATATAGAAAATAAAAAGAAAGGTAAGTCATGGCCAGATTGGTTATGAAGTTAAAAATATATTTGCCTCTACCGGTAGGAAGTTCTTTACAAGATTATAAAAATTACATTCGCTGGAAAATAAATATTCAAAATTAAAGCTTAAATTAGTTTTCTGCTTAAAAAACATAATCTACTTCTTCTAATATAAAGTTGTTTTTAAAATCGTAAAAGTTAATATCTGAAAATATTACCTCGTACCCTCGTACCAGTGTGATATTTTTGTTATTTTTAGCCCTATTTTCATAGAATTTTTAGCAAGCTGCATATAATTATATCAATTATTAATTCGTAAATTCAGTTTTTTATAAACATTAGTATTTGGCATATTATACAGGCTTAATCGAGGGGTTCTTTTTTACACTAACTTTAAAACACCCTGTGCAATAATTTCGTTTGTATTTTTTTTTAATATAATTTTGCGTTCAGAACCAGGTCTCCTCATTAATTTATTTTTTGAAACATGCCGTTGTAAATTTTTAAGTGTCGAAATATATGTTCTTTGTAGCATAAACGGTCGTATCTTTCTTTTACGTTAACTTAGTTTAACTTAATGTTCGATTTTTTCACAGAAGGGACTGTGGGATGGTTTTAACTGGACCGGATGTCTGTCTGTCTGTCGGTCTGTCTAAAAAAAATCATAACTCCAAAATTACAGTAGCTAGCGAAACGAGGTTTTCAATTTAAGATTAGGAATAATATTTGCAACAAAATTTGTAATGACATCAAAATCAAAGTCGCAGTTTTTGAGATAATTGAAACTAAAAGAACTGCCTACCAACTTTTTATCAACATATTTTAGTATGGGCGGTTATACGTGCCTCCCGACGCCAATTTTTTCAATTATCATTTCTTTTTGAAGTTATTTTTCAATATGATAAAGCGGCTTTTGGGATTACTGTGAACTATATACTACTATTAACTGCCCATCGTGTTCGACGTTTGGGAAATACTTGGGAGGAGGGCTGGAGGTCGCGAAGCGTTACCAGCTTCATTAAATGAACTTCGCTTGGGCCTTAAAGAAGAATGGGAAAACATAACGCAATATGATATATGCAGCCTAAATGACACTATGAACGGACGTATACAGGCAGTTAGGAGGTACGAGGTATATACCCTCCTACCCTCGTATAATTGACAGATGGAAACTTTCATTTTTAATTTAGAAGCAGATAGAACTAGAACAAAAAGAACACAGAACAAAACAAAGACACTAGAACAAAATTTATTAAACTTTAAAGTACATCAAAATTTTAAGGTGTCCGTTTTTCGTGCCGATGAGAGCACATTGATTCAATCATTTATATTTAATTAAAATAACTCTTTGTGAACAAAATCAATGAATAAACCGCACAATTTAAGACTCACTAAACCCACTAGAACAAAAACAAGACCTCCCCAACACACTTCGCTCCATTCCACTCGGTTATTTAAAATTCCATCGTAATAAAAGAGATTGGCTGGTGAATTTTTAAGGCCGCTTTATATCTTTATACGTGCCGGCGCGGGATTCCAACTAAGACGTTAAGTCATACGCTCGCAGGTCTGAGGAAAACAGATAGAAAATGGCTTGGGAAAACTCGGACGGCCGTTACTTTGTGGCAAGTTTTATCTCCCGCGCCGGAGAGAGAAAAATATGGCTGGAAAATGGGCAGGAGATAAGGATATGTGGTTGCAAGGTGTTAATGTGGCAGTGGGGAGTCGATTTCTCTGGATTTTTATTGGTTTTGAAAATAAAAGTTTTATAATGTTAATAATAAACAAACTTTAAAATTCTGTAGCTGATTCATTACTAAGTAATCGTATTGAGTTTATCAGAACGTCAAAGGATTTAAGTAGTGATGGGAAAAACCCTAGATCATATATATATATATAGATTTTATGGAAAGCACTGTTCATTAACATGTTGTATCCTATGTTATAGGGCTTGTTT